CTTTTTATTGGTTTGATTTGGTGTAACATTTTATGTAGATCACAAATATTAAACCAATTAAAACAAACTTCCATCATGCGATACGCGTGCAAATATGAAGTCCGTGTTTTCTTTTTAACTCATTCCAGAGTAAAATTGTTACCATGTCGACCGAGTCAACCGAAAATAATTCTCGTGATTCCTCATATGGTAAGTATGTGAATTATTATTTAAAGAATTCAAGAAAGGGAAAATCCAATACTTCGAGCTGTTTTCATATGAAGAGTGGTCATTTAAACATTTTGTTTCCTTGTTTGAAAATTTCAATCAAACGGAAAATAATAATGGACTAGTTTATAATATACTCTATGTAATTAGAGACGATTCAAGTGCTTCGAAAGAAGTACACAAGACTGTAAAAGCTTTGTTGAGTAGGAAGAATTGGAAGGGGGTAAGTATAGTAAGTCTGTAAATAGTGCATGTTTGTTAGGTTTGTCCTGTTAAGCACAGTGCTTTCGCTTGGATACAATGGCATTGCCCTCGGTTATCGCAACATGTTTCCCAGGTTCATTCTGTCAAGCGCAGTTGGTAAATTCTGGAGGAGGAATCAGATATCTACCTTCCTTTATCCGCACACATCTATACCTTATTTTACTTTCTGGGAATATTTCTCATAATTTTCTTAATTTTCTAGGTTGAAAGCAAATTAACTGATATAACCAATTCAGTTAGGAGAAAAGTAGAAAGAAGACCACTTTCTAAAAAGAATAAAAATAAATCAGCTAGTAACAGAAACACATATTCTACAACTTCCAATGTTAATTCTGGCGGAGTAGATGAAAATTCTAATGATCAAAGTGGTCGTGATAATTCCAATAACGATAATAATAATAAACACGACAACACCAACAATAATGTTAACACAAGTACCACAACATCGTTTTCTAATGGTATTAATATGCCACCACAAATGTACGAAGAAACACCTCAAATGTCATATCCAAATGCTCATTCCGTCCCAATACTTACTCCAATTTTTCCAAACAATGGACAATACTTCTATGATCCTCAATACAATATGGGAGCGTCGCCAGTAAAATCACATTACGGATCATATGATTTACTATATCTCGTGTTTTACTGGCAACATTCCCATATATTTGGACGGTCCCCTCCTCAAATTCCTCCTTCAGCGCAACAAAAATTTGTTAGTTCAACCGTTTATCCTTACCCTCAAATATCTGTTCCTCCAATGCATCCTTCGCCTTATCATAATTCTTTGCCTCTCAGTGCAACTTTTGAAGAAGAATTTACAAGGTATTTTATTTTATAAATTGTTTATTATTAATATTCAAGATTTAGGCTAATTAACTCTAATTAACTCTTAGTTCTCAAGAAAATAATAAAAATGATCGAAAAGTTATTCAAAAATTGAATAACATTGAGAATTTAGTAAAAGAGCTACAAAAAATCAGAGGTAGCTATATCAGGTATAAAACGCAATGAGTGGGAAAAAATTTAATTGTTTACTGGTCTTAAGCTTGGCTTTAATTTAGAATATGAAACAAAGTGTTGCATTCCAATGGGATGATAGACCAGAAAGAGAACAAAAAGATAGGTATATACCTCATCTTAGAAAGATTCCAAATATCGGAAACTTGGAATGTATGATACGATTGATCATAGTAATTTTCTTAGTATGGGTACCAAATAAGACTCGTTGGATGTAACTATAGTAGACAGGTTTTCTATTTCCTCCAGGATCCCACAACATCACATTCGGATTCTTTTTGAACTAAAGAAATCAATTAATGACGAACATTTTTATCAAGCTTTGGCAGAATTGACTGCCGGAGATTAGAGTTTGGAACCGGTTAATTAACTCGTTAACCGGTTAAAGATTTTTTTTAAACAGTTAAAATATCTAATAATAACTCTGGCCGAAATTTAATTTCGGGCAGAATTAAAAATTTTTTTTGCTATTACAAAATTTCGCTAGTTTTGCCCAAAATTATAGTGCCGGCCTGAGTTAAATTTAACAGGTTAATTAATCGGTTAAAGAATTTTTTAACCGGTTATTATCTCGAAAATCAAAAACTGAGTTTAAAATCGTACTGCGGCAAATGTAGTAGATAGCATGAATAGCATAGATAGCATATATAGTGATTATGATAAACATGTAACATTTCGGGGTTTTAACTAATACAGTCAAACCTCTATATAACGATATGTCGGGACATATAGAATTTTTTTTTAAAATATCGTTATATCAAATTATACCGATATTTATATGACCTCAAGTATAGTAGGTAAATAAAATTTTATCGGTATATAAAGTTTTTAATAGTATATCGGTATATAGAATATCGGTATATAGAGGTCCGACTGTATCTATTATTTCATTGTTTATTTTGTTTATTTTATATTTATCATTTATGTTATATATGTTATTTTATTATTATGAAAATGCATAGTTTAAATTTAGTATATGCTGGAAAATTAATTACAAAAAAATATAGTGTGATTATTGCAAGCTTGGTAATAAACTTACAGACTTTCAAATAATAAAATATCTTTACACTTTTAAACCTTCCTCTTGTCTTCACATAAGCTTTGCTTGTGATAACTAACTCTCAATTGAATCGTGATAAAGTCATTAGTAGTATATTTCAAGATAAAAGGAATTCCAGAATAATGTATTGAATTATATGCATCATTTGATACCTTGGCTTCAGTACAATCACAGGGTTAACACTGTTAAGGATTTTGGGCTGGTTCCAAACTTTACCAGAGATTTAAAATCTATACATACTGTTTTAGCAGTATTAACAGATTTAGAAGATAATTGGCAGTTTTTCTACTTTAAAGATGAAAAGATTAGAACATTTATCCTTCCTATAGGTAAAGCTATGGCACTAATACAAATAAATATGAAATCTGCAAATCAAAAGTTAAAGAATAAAACAGAAGTAATAGAGCTATTACCTAAAAAGAAAAGTTTAAAGATATAACAAATATCAGACATTAAACATGTTTCTGTTTAGTTGAAATTTAATGTCATAATAATTCTCATAACTATAAAAATATGAAAAGTAATATAATTTCTATTTAATGCAATTTTATTATTTGGGAGACGATTAGTAAAAAAGGAAAAATCCAAATTTTGGTCAAAATTTATATTATTAAACCACTTGACTGATTTCGATCATGTGCAAAATTTAGTTTAATAATAAAAATTAATAGATTTTCCTTTTTTTCATTGATCACTTTCTATTTATGTGAATCACAAAATCTTAATAATTGTAGTGCATTTCTCCAATTTTGAGTAGCAAATAGTGTTACATATAGCTAGGGTTTTGCAATTCAATTTGATATTTGAATATTCAATTTAAAAATCAAAGTAAATACAAATTTAAATCAAAGAATGATTTATTTAATCAAATCCAAATTAATGTTTGATTTGATTCGATCAAATTCAAATCAAATATTCAAATATTTAATTTGATTCAAATCAATAGTAAAGCTATATCCAAAGCTTTAGGAGTAACTCTTACCAAGAAAACTATAGTAAAAAACACTTTTGCAACTTTAGAAATGCCTTTTTACTAAGAAATTTATAGTAAAAAATGCCTCTACAGCTTTGAAATACTTTTTTTACTAAGAAAACCATAGCAAAAAGTGCATCTGTGGTTTTAAAATATCTTTTTATTAAAAAAACTATAGTAAAAAATGTTTTCAAAACTTTAGAGACATTATTTTATTAAGAAAATATAATAAAAATGTGTTTACAGCTTCGGAGATGCTATTTTACTAACAGTAGCCAGACATGTTGCATGCAGATTATAATTAAATTTGTTTTGTATAATAGTAATTGAAAATTTGCTTTATAATTAACTATTAGAATTTTAACATATGGGAATCGGTCAGTAGAAAAGAAGAAAATCCAAAATTTTTGTTAATTTTAATTATTAAGCTAATTTTGTACATATGAGGCCTTTGCAATAGAAAGGGGGGAAACTGCTAGAAAAAATTAATTTTACTTTATATGCCAAATATGATTTTTATGCTGAAATATGTTCAAATTTAGTATTAACTCACTTTTTATTTTTTTAGCTGTTTCCCCCCTTTCTATTGCAAAGATCCCATATGATCAAGATCAGTCAAGTGATTCAATAATATAAATTTTGACCAAAATTTGGATTTCCCTTTTTTTTACTGACCGCCTTCTATATACTGCTTATATAAATTAGGTAATTGATAGAATATCATAAGATTTATTCATTTATTTTAATAATTAACCACTTTTAAAATTTTTTTTTTTTTGCAATTACAAGAAGTTTTGTCCTAAAAAGCTATTTTTTTTATGATTTTCTTAAAAGTTGAAAAGAAAGTATGATTTTGACAGTTAAAATAAATATAATTTTACATAAGGAAAAATAATTTCTTAGGTTGAAAAGGTAATTATTCAAATAGTTTTTGTATAAAATGTAAAAAATTGATTTTTAGTAAAAAAATTAAAAAAAATTTAATTTTTTAATTTAAAATGTTTATTGGATAACATTTAACTAATAATATATATTATAATTTAGTAAAAGAAACAAGTTCTATTAAGGTGAAAAAGGTAAATATTCAAGTAAATTTTAGGTTATTCTTGAATTATATTAAAATTTCTTAATTTTTAATATAAAGAATAATAAAATTTATATATTTATTCTAGGAAATAATCAAATAATATTTCCAAATATATTTTTAAGTGGTTTTATAACTAAATGATTAGTTGAATAATTGCAAATTTTTTGTTTGTAATATTTTAAAAAATTTTATATTTGTACTTAAAGTGTGTTTTTTTCCAAATTTTTTGTTTAAAGTTAAATAAAAATAGTTGAAAAGTATTAAATAGACATCAAAAAAAGAATTTTAAAAAGTTTTGATTATTCATATAATAAATATATCAAATAATAGATGATTTTTCCAACAAGATCTTCTTAAACTGGCTAAACCATTTGCTTTTAAAAGTTTATAAAAATTTTTGCGAAAAGTCAACGAATATTTTGATGTAATAACTGTTCAATTTGGTTAGAAATGTAACATAATTTACATATTACGAAATAAAAAAAAGGCATAAAATCATATAAGATTTTGTCGATCAAATGATCGACATCTATATCAATAGGTGCGTTCACAAATTCATTTGGATTGGATTGAGTCGACGTCTTAATCCAATCCAAATTCACAAATTAAAAATCCGA